GGGGTTTTGGGTTGAGGTGTCAGGGTAGGTTTCTGGGTTTTGGGGTTTACAGGGTTGAGGTGTCAGGTTTGGGGGGGTTCCGGTTTAGCCTTTGCGGTTTGGGGGCTTAGGGTTTAGGTTTTGGGGTGTTGGGAGTATATCCCATAGGGGCAGAGGCTTCGCATTCGGTTGAGATCTCAAGGCATATGTGGCGATTAGAGTAGTAAGACGGCTTTTGGAGTTTATGGCAGGCCCTAGAGTCTTCAGCCCCAAGCTTCGTTGTGAATTCCTGAAACTTTCAATTTGATCCGAGCTAAAAGGGGTTTAGGGTTGAAACCTTTAAGCGCTTAGGGTTTATAGGGTTTAGGGTAAACCCTAAACCCTAAACCCTGGCACAGACTTGATCGTTACTCCTACAGATCTTCTAAAAGCCCGTGCGGTCGTAGAGTCGAGCCTCGAGCCCTAGCGCCCAAAACCATAAATCCCAACCCCACCCCCCAACCGTATACAGTGAACACTAAGCAAAAAAGAACCGATGCCCATTATCCCCTTAACCCTAAACCGTAAACCCTGGGCCCTGGACGTGATGTACCAGCCGAGTGCGAGAGTGAGTCGAAACCCTGGACCCCTCCGCCTCGAGGCCAACGTCGCCGGATGCTGCCGCAGTGCTGATGTCTCTCCTGAGAGGAGGCAGGCTCCTTCTTTCAAGGGTCCTGCTACCCACAGGCCCCACAGTAGTTCCTTTTGGGGATTACCTATACAAAAGGGAACTACTATGGGGCCTATGGGTAAGTGCCAGAAGAAGTTTAACTCGACGTTGTCCCCATGCTTTCCGAGGGGTGTCGGCCGCCATTCCCTCGCCGCTGCCGGCGAGCTCCTGGTGGAATCTGCCACCTTTCCTAGAGCCTCGCTTCTTGAGGGTCTATCGTTGGATCTTTCTCGGTGTATTTTAGGCTCATGATTATATTGTATGGTGTAACTAGGGTCTTTAGGGTTTATAATTAAGGTATCTCGGCTTTACTTAGGGTCTTTAGGGGGACTTAATTCGAGTCGCTAAAGGTTAAGGATCTGAAGGGTTTAGGCTTAGGGCCTTATGCCGGCTGGGTCGACCGTGCAGCGGCTTAGGGCTTCAAGGTGGGGATTTGATGTTGACTGGATTCGGGGCGTATCTGAAGCCTGATAAATGATAAAACGTCTATTTGTTTTTGATCCTTCACATGATTGTTTTCGGTTTAAACAGAAGGCTGTTTTTTCGGTGGGTTCAGGTATCTGACAAACACATGGATGACCTGGGTTCCTCGGCTTCCACACATCCTAAGTGAGCACACTGAAAGCTCCCCAAAAGTAGCAAGAATATCCCCGGCTAGTCTCTGTAACATTATGTTATCATAGATACGCTAACACTCCCCAAAACCCCACTCGAAGTACACCCCAGGCCCACACTTAAGGTATCAAGGCCCCTATGTTCGTCCCCAGAACATTCAGGAGGGCCTAAACCCCAAACCAAGGGCCCTAAACCCTAGACCCTAAGCCCTAAAAGCTTCTTGGCATGGCTGCTGAAAGCAAAGCGGCTGTGCCCCCGGGCAAATCCATGGAGTCCCGAAGCAAAAACAAGCCCTCAAAGCCATAATCCGAGGATCCCTTGACGCTGCGACATCAGGTCGCTTCCTCTCCAGGCGGAAGCCGCCGCGATGTGTTGAGGGAAGCTGTAGGCTTTTTAGGGTGTTGGTTTAGGGCTTGGGGAGTTTGGGGTTTAAGTTTAGGTTTAAGCAAATTTAAGGGGTTGGGTTTAGGGTTGAGGGGTTAGATGCTTTAGAGCTTATATTGCGTTTTGGGACTTCGCGGCTCTTGGGCCTCAGACGTGTTCAGGGGTTTCAGTTCGTTTCTTTGGCTTGCAACGCAGAGCCATGATGATTGCGGTAAACCCTAAACCCGAAACCCTACTCAAGTTTAGTCGCAACTGACCTAACCTCTGAAAGCCCAAATCCCGAGCCCTTGAAGTCAAGACTTCTTGACGTTGGTCTGATGGAAAGGTTCCTATAGTCTCCATAGTAGTTCCTTTTTGGGGATACCTTATAAAATCCGTAGTATATATTTGGTTAAACCAAAAACAGGAACTACAATGGAGACTATATGTTGTACCTCGTCGGATCGACAGGCGCCAGAGGTCGGGAAGATGGCCTGTGTGTCATTATGATCGAGATGCACCGAATGGACTACGAGGAGGGTACCTGGAATTCAGGGCACAGGGCCTAAGTCGAAGCTTGATAGGATATAGGCTTATAGTCGATGACCGAAGAACGTTGCAAGTTAAGCCTCTTCGTTTTGCGTGTGCATGTGGGAGGGCAGTGGGTGTGATGAGCTTCGAGGATTTCAGTGCGTCCTCTTATCTGAAATTTGGGTCAGCCAAGGCCAACCCAAGTTTCCAAACCTGCGGACGCCCTGAGACCCCCCTTGCCGTAGCCCCGACCTCGACACTGCGGAACCTGTTCTGTTGAGACATGCACAAACATACGCAAATATATTTATAGCTTTATGAATATAAAGACCTTCATACATTTGCTTGCTTGCTTGCTTGCTTGCTTGCTTGCTTGCTTGCTTGCTTGCTTGCTTGCTTGCTTGCTTGCTTGCTTGCTTGCTTGCATTCTAAATTCTGTCTGAGAGCAGTGGAAAGCCGCTAGCCTGACAAAGGTAAGTGCCGGAGGGTCGAGGTTCCCTTCACCCTGCCACAAATCCCTAACCAAGCCTCCGGTGAAAGGACCTCATATCAACTAGGGTTCAGGGTCAGGGCTAGGGCTTAGGGTTATGGTTGAAGAGTAGACTCTCTAGGACTATAACAGAAAGGGTGCCCAAGAAGCAAGCTTGGATGCAGGAGCTTCGTGCTTTGATGGAACGAGTCTCCGAGGACGTGGGGGATAGCAGCATAGTTGGTGTCGTCCCACACCCTGAGGGCTTAAGGTTTCGGGTTGGGGCTCGAGAGCTCTCTGATGAGAGTTCAACCTTTTCGAAGTTTTCAGCCAATGCAAATTGGCAGGACCTCTTCGGTGCACCCGCGCGTGTCTACAGCTACTTCCTGACCGCATCAGAAGATGCTGAGGAGCTTTCTCGGGACCCTCAGTGATCACAGACGGGCTTGAAGAATCAGCATGAGCATATTCCTTATATTCCGTATATGCATAGAGACATATTACATTGTACCCCCCCAAATCCTGATTCAAAGCAATCATCCCCGGGATTCCCAGTTTGCCCTTCCATCCCGGCATGCTTCCTATGAAAACCGAATAGCACGAAAAAGACACATTGAAGGGCTGAACGGTTTGCAGGGTTGTCAAACAAGACTTTCATGGGGCCTTATTTCGAGTGGTTATACTAGTTATAGGGTGCAGAGTCTTGTCTTCCGGAGTACAGTGCTTGAGTGCTTTTGTGGGCTTTATAGCCTATTGCAGACTCCACCACAATTTGCAAGCTTCGTTTGTGCCTGTGCTCCGGGCACAAGAACCGAATCCTTGATGTTGTTGGAGCTGCCCCCTGTCCGTGCGCGCTAGGTCTCAACATCCACCCGGCACAGTGCAGAATGTAGGTGAATCTACCAGCCCTAACCCTACTGCCGATTTCAAGCCCATGCTACTACAGGAGTTGGACATTCAGGAGGAACTCCCTACGCACGGAAATCATGCTCACATCTTCTTGGAGCAAGGGATTGCGGCTGGACTTGCAGAGGCCTGACGCGGAAAAGGGCCTATAGACTTTGCAGAATCGCACCAAAGGCTCATTGACTAGAAAAGCCCGCTGAATACAACTACTTACCCCAAACGCTCAAGCGAGAAATCCTACAGACTGAACCCTTCTAGCAACCCTTTTGGGTTTGTGGCGCGCGGGTTCTAACAGATGGTAGATGGAGGGTCTTCAACCCTAAGCCAAGCCCTATAAACCCAAGCAGCAATCCTGTGAGGTAGCTGGGTGGATCGAGCAACATCACTGGAAGGGTGCGGACCTGGTGGCCGGTTGCACCCCGCTTTGGGCTTGTGTGGCCCTCTTCCAGGAAGCGGTTTTTGAAACTTTTGGGTTGTAGTTTTGCTAGGGCATCGTGGTACGAGATCAGAAGGCTTCTGAAACTTACGTAGGTGGTAATGGAGGGGAACCAGTTCCAAAAACATAGGGTTTTCGTATAGTATAGTTTTAAGGATATGGGATTACGACTATAGTGGGTATCAGTACTACTTGTTCGGCCACAGGGCAGTAAGTCAACCTAAACCCTGAACCCAGAGTTAGTGCACCCCTCATGCTACACCCGAAGAGCGTTCAGCAGCCTTCATAGTTGGGCTTCAGTGTCTTGTTGTGGTAGGGTCACAACTTCAGCCTGAATGGGCTGGGGTGTCGGGTTTCTTGATGCGACGGACCCTGTGGCCCAAGGGATAGACGTCGCCATTGGAAGCTGCACGTTTGAGCGGCCGCCTCTTTGTAATCTTTGCATGTGCGAAGGGATGGTATGGTGTGTTTGCCAGTGTTTTTGTCTACGGGAGTTTTGCAGGTCCGATGTGGGCCACAACTTACCCGCTTTAATCCCTGAAACACCTACCCGATTCCGTCACATAGAGCGAAATTTAATTATAGGGGTCCTGAGTCACCGCAAATCCTGCCAGGTCCTTCCTGACATGTCTCTCGGCAGGATTTTGCAGGGCTCACACGTATGGCGTTTTGAATACTACAGTCCTGAAGCGCGAAGGCACAAAATCTAAGCACTCATATAAGCCCTACACCTGGATTTTCTTTCTGAACAAGCTGTATGATATATCAGTGCTTCTCCCGCTAGGTCTCAAGCCTACAGGATGAAATGACCGATCCTTTACCCAAGGCCATTTCTAGTCCGGCAGAACATGGCCTTGTTGCAGTTCTACCAAGCATGGGGCGAATTGGCCCTCTACTGGTCTATGCTCCATGGCTTCATGGCATCTCGAAAGGTAACGACTCCTGGATGCGTTGAGAAACCCGTGCCTTTTTTGTGTCCTCGCATGCTGGCAGAGGGCACTGGAATGAAGCAATTAAGCACAACAGTGGCACGACTTACTTCAGTCCCCTAACCCGCTGGAAACCAGGTGTGTGTCCTTAGAATGTGGATATACATGTACAAAAGCAGTAAATACATTGATATATATATATATATAGAGAGAGATATTTGGACGCGCAGTTACAGCTTATAGGAGCTACAACACCGTAGTCACTGTAGGGTATTGTAGCTTAAGGTATCTCTATGTATCTCCTATGCACTCCAGGATTTCGTGGAAGCATCGCTTGGGCGCGGAGCAAGTCTTTGACCAAACCGGCGCGCGGCCTGCGTATGTGCCTCTCATCAGCTTGCACACAGATGGCCTCAAGTACCAGCCGACCAAGCAGGTTGCGCAGGGTTGGATCAGGTTATCCCGCTAAGCCCGGAACCCAAACATGTAAACACGCAAACCTCGCACATCCTTATAGATTTTCGAGCCTGTAAAGCCCAAAGACTCTTCAATGAAGCAGATCCGAGAGGAGGTGCTGGTGCACAGATGCGGCCACAGAGGCTTTGTGCAACTGCTGGGCTTCTTGAAGACTGCAGCCGCAGCGATACCGAAAGTACGACTGGACTTCCTATCAGAGCTGCAACAGCTTCACAAGAAGTCTCTGGATTGGCATGGCTTTACTGAGTACCATGCCCTGGTGCTTCTTCCCGATGCTCCGAACACCATCAGCTTCGCAGATGCTTATGCCACTTGGGTGATCTTGTGTGTGTGTGTGTGTGTGTTTAGGGTTTAGGGTTTAGTGATCTTCGGTGCTATTTTGGAAGAGCTTGACAAAACCCCAACCCAAAGCCTGATCCACTAGCCGCACCTTGTACGCTTGGTCGCTATGTTCGTCTCGGGTCTTTTGCAGAGTTATCTGCTTTTGTTAAGGGGTGCTGATGCTTCCCTAGGCCCTATGCATTTGCTTGAGGAAGTCTTCTGATCGGAGTCTCATGCTTTGGAAACACACTGCCCACAACTTTGCAACGCCAATCCTGCCTCTCCCCCTATCTTCTGAACTATAAACTAAGACAGAACGGTGCTTCAACCGAAAACCCTAAACCCGAAACCGATTCTGATCTTTAGCTTTATGGGGCTATCGATTTTGGCTTCCTCTGCTGGTTGATGGGTTTAATTAGGATAGCAATTGTGTCACTTGAGTCGTGAAGACTCAGAGGAGACTGCGTATTCCCTGGGCCCTTCCCGGTCCTAACATCATTGACTCCTTCACGGGGCTTGAGTTCACCTGAACCCCTCTGATGGTCTCCTCGTCGTAGTCATTGAAGTCCACCAACTAGACATCTGGGTCATTGGATTTTAATGAGAGAGCATGGATCCTCCTGCATTAGTAGGTTATTATCTGTATGGCTTCGTGTTTTGGGAATCCCGAGCTTGCGTGGTTTCACTACTCAGCGGACCTCGAACCATATCGCCTGGATCGTCCGAGTGTGAGCGCCGAAACCTGAAATTCCATCCTAAAACATCCTGAGCCCTAGAAACCCGTAAGACAATACATCAGAGTAACAAAGCACTAAGCCCTAAACTGCGCTACTCGAGCCGACCTCGCCTGCGTTGGCCGAGTTGCGAAGAGTCCAAGCGCTGAAGACCCGAGGCCCTACACAATTTCAGCCCCATAGTAGTTCCTTTTTGGGATTACCTTTTATAGGATTCTAAATATGAACCCCGACTACTACCCATAGGCCCCATAGTAGTTCCTTTTTGGGGTTCATATATAGAATCCTATAAGGTAATCCCCAAAAGGAATTACTATGGGGCCTATGGGTACACAACTTCAGCGCCAAATCCACACCAACCTTTGCAGCCCTAAAGCTTTGAACCACGGAGTCGAACTGTGGAGTCCCCGAACTGCAAACACCGCGGCCTAAACCAAATCCTAAGCCCTATAAGTAAGCCCAAACCCAAATCCTAAACCCTATAATTAAACCCTAAACTATACTTAAGCCCTAAACCAAATCTTGAACTCTAGACTTAAACCCTAAATCCTAAACCAAATCCTAAACCCTAGAATTATATCCTCAACCCAAGGCCATGCACATCCCGATCTTCCTGCCCAGCGAGCCGGAGATCTGGACGTGGATGTGGTCGCAGTCTGACCCGCCGCGGGGGCGAGAACATTTCTACAGGGGTTAGGGTTCACCTGGACCCTCAAAGTATGTAGAATACCAGCCTTTTAGAGTTTTCGGTTTTTTCTGGGCCCCGAAAGTATGTAGAATACTAGCCTTTTAGAGGTCTTGGGTCATTATGCCGACTTTGTTTAGAGGTTTTGGGTCATGAGGCCTACCTTGGGGCTTAGGGTTTAGTGGTTAAGGGTTCATCATTCAGGGTTTTGCAGGTTGCGGGCTTCTATATACGGAGTTCGAAAGGGATCAAAAGGGCTTGTGGGGTTTACGATGCGTTTTGCAGGTGTTGATAGGGTCTCTGTAGGGGGTTGAGAGCGGTGTCTGATGTAAACAATGGTCTTGGTGAGATGTAAGGTTAAGCATTTCGGGTCCAGGTTTTGAGGGTTCACAGGTCGTGAGAGTTTCTCCCATGCCGAGAAGTGAAGTGGTAAGGTTCAAAGCTGTGAATTTCCAGACTGGGCTCGATAGTGAGGCTACAGCTGGCTCAAACCCTAAACCATACCACTCTATGACCCGAACACATACTGACACCTATAAGACCCCATACACCCTTCTACTCTAATGCCCGCAATGAAGAGATAAAGGCATCAAAGAGAGACGGGCTTAACACAAACCTAAATCCCCCTTGTAACCCTTATAGACTTACCGATCCCTTAAAAAATGAAGGGAGGACCCTAAACCCTAAACCCTGAACAAACAAGGTACGCCGGGCCAGGCTCGTCTCTGAAGCAGCAGCGCGCCCCTTGGAGCCTCTCGGAGGATTTCCCGGCTTGGTGGCCAGCCCTGCAAGCAGGCGCCGGGTTTTTGGGTCCTACCTTGACCCACCAGAACCTACTTGTTGTAGGGTCCCTTATAAATCCCATAATAGGTTTTATAAGAATAAGCTACAAAAAAGTGGGTTTTGGTAGGTTAAGGTAGGGTTTAGGGTTGAGGGTTTAGGGGTTTCTCGTTCAAAAGGGTTGGGAGTTTAGGGGTTTAGGGTTTAGGGTTGCTTTGGCCAAGCTGTTTTGGGCTTATGACGGGACATCGATATCATTAAGGCTTTTGTGTTGCCGTGGTTTTTGTCGATGTTGCTGCGAGGACCCCTTTCTGTGGTAACGAGGGGACATACCCAATAATAAGCGTTCAGAGCCTACCAGTTTGTTCGTTGTGTTTCATAGTTCCCCCCCCCCCCGCCTAAAAAGCAATTCCTGACTCAGCATTTCGTGCCGGGGGTTAGAGTTGCGGAAAAACGCGCTGAGCCCCGAAATCCGATACCATAGGGGCCTAAAGAGTTACCTATTGACGATAGTATATTGTACCCCAAAACCTTATTCTTAAAGCCCCGAAATCCCTAAACCCTAAACACCTACAGCCTTTTCTAATTCTAAAGCCCCGAAATCCCCTAAAACCGACGACCCGAAGCAGCAGGGCCGAAGCACCATATCGGAGTGCCTCGGCTGTAGTGACTGCGGACTCGAAGGCTCTATTGGGGCTTAGGGTCTACAGGGCTTGGGGTTTATGAGGGTTTAGGCTTTAGGGTTTAGGGTTTAGGTTCTATAGGGCTTTGGGTTTAGGCTTTAAGGGTTTAGGGTCTATAGGGCTTAAGGTTTAGGGTTTAGGATTGGGGCTTGTCAGACTTGTCCCCTGAGCCCTTAAGCCTTCCTTTCCTATCTTGGCAAAGGACAGGAAGTCTCCCACACCTGAATAGCCCAGAACCCTCAACCAAAATCCCAGATCCTCCGCACTAAACGCTGCAACCATCGTATCATGCAGGGGTGCCCACGATGTCTGAAGACTCGCTGAAACTAAGGCTTTCGATCACCTGCAAGGCAAGTTCCCCATCGAGTTTCTTCTGGAGCGTGCTTCTAGGGCCGGTTTAGTCATTGCAGTCTAGGGTTTTCTGCTGTGAACGTTTCTCTTGTACCTTGCAAACAGCGCTCCATGACAAGAATTCAGGCTTACTGGTACCAGTACACAGAGTACTACCTCCTGCCGCACACGCGACATTTCAGGGGCATCGCTGATCTACTGGATCAGCTGCAGGGCTACACAAGAGAGCTCTGGGCTGCAGTCAGCAGATCCCTGAAAGGGATCAGAGATGCCTATTGCTTGCCCGAAACTTCTATGGCTGTCTTGTCTCTAAACCTATGAATCCTCTAAGCCCTATACAACAGCCGCATGATCTTGTTGTGCCCCGGCTCAGCTCTTCGTGCCTACTCTTCAGTAAGGGCTTAGGAAGGGCTGTTCATATCAGCCAATCGTTCTCTTCGGTTGTGGTCTTCCGGAGATTGAGCACCACCAAAAACTTCAGGGTTTAAGGTGACGTAAGTAAGTGTGCCATGCACGTCCTCTTCTAGAGGTATACGCCACGTTAAGCCCTCAAGGGCTAAACTCAGTCAGTCAGGAGGATGCGCTGGGGGACAGCCGTCGCATCGCTGTCGAGCAAGTCAAGAGAGAGGCGTACGTGACCACCTGGATGGGGACGACGGTTGCCAATGCCATCGCTGGACGGTGAAAAAGCAACTGTGTCTCCAGTCGCCTACTCATTATTTATAGCTATTCCAACGCAAACCCCACCCAACAAGAGGTTATTTGTTCAAGGTCTCAAGAACTATACTGTTCAAGCATGTCCTGTTGTGTGGTATGGGGCTACACCAAGGCCTTCGCACCTCTTTTGAGTCACCCATAGCCCTAAACCCACAGCCTTACACCCTGAGTGTGAGCGCCGAAATACTGCACTTCAACCTTAAGCACCACACTTCTAAGCCTCAGAGTTTTTGAAACCCTAAACCCGGTATAACCGTTAGAGGAGCCCTTACAGGAGCCCCTTTAGGGAAACCTTTCTGAAGAGGAGAAGCTCCCACCGGAGAACTTCCCGCCGCTCTGGGCGCGTTGGCGCCCCAGCTTTCCGAGCTTTTCAAGAAATGGTTCCCTTAAAGGAACCTTTTCGGGTTCTCCCTACAGGGGATATGTTCTGGGTTCTCTGAGGGGTGCTATGCTTAAGGGTTGCTGTAAGGTTTAGCAAAGCGGGTCCCGTGAGGGGAAGGGGAACCATCAGGGGCTTTCCAGCGCTAGGATTGATGAAGGTTTCGGCTTTGTTGTTGAAGTCTCGGCTTGCTGCTTGTTGAATCATTGACTCTTAAAGTGTATATAGGTTATGTGACTCATTTCTGTGGCTTGTCATTGTGAATTGAGGGTTCGGATATATAAGGCTTAGGATTTCTACTCAGATACCACAACATTTGTTCAAAACGTCCGACCTCATCCTGAACATATCCAAGCCAGACAGGCAGGCTTGTTTGTTCAGTCATCGTGTCGCAAAGGGTTTACGATTCGGGGTTGAGGAGTTGCTCTAAGTCTAATCACCGACACAGGAAGATACAGAAACACCCAACATCGTCTGGACCTCCTTCCTGCTGCAACATCGGGCTTGCATTCCGGTGCTGGCACGTTGAACGTAGGGTTCCATGAGAGTCGGGTGTCCTTTCGGGGATGCGGATACTTATGCGAAGCCTTGCTTCATCTAGTTCCTGTCAGGAGAGTCTCGTCTCCTCACTGAAGAGTCAAGAAGACTCCCTTGGTTACCTGAAACTACTTCTTCCCCGAGCCCTTCTATGGCTATCTACGACTTGTATAGTGGGGTGCATCTACACTGCCGTAGACGGAGTCCCTAGAGCTTGTCACCGGTCCGCGAGGATTGGGCTACAAAGCAAAGCCTCTTTGAGTCCAGTGCTGAAAACAGTGAGCCCTATGCCATGCAACAACACTCTAGAATCGCCTGTGTCGTCCGAGTCGCCCTGAAGCCCTCCACCCCAAGATCCTTGCAGATCCTTGCAACTGCTCAGCCCGAGGCGGAAGCGAAGCATACCCAGAGCGAGCCACCAAGATGCAAGAAAGCATTGACGAATTCAGTCTCGGGCTTCCGGGCATTAGGGTCTCTACAGAGTCTACAGGGTGCATAGTGTTCCGTGCGGGGAACCACTAAGATCCCGAACACCTGTCAACTCCTCGACAATGCTCATGGCCCTAGAATCATAGATCGCGCTGGAACCCCAAACCTCTCGACGGTTGAGGGTTTAGTGTCCCGTGATACTTGCCCTATAGATCCTAAGAAGCCCGCTACACCGAAACCCCAAACCCAAAGCCCGCAGATTCTCGGGAGGAAGCCGTAATCCAGCTTTTTGGTCCTCAAGCTGATGAGCTTCTGCAGCAGGCTCTGGATTTCAAAAACAGGGGGCCTGAATACTTCGTCGTAGTAACGTACAGTTTTCATCCCTTGTCATGAGGGACCTTACGGAGCAGTAATTCAATGCTTCTTAGGGTTCCTTGTTATGACAAGACTACAATAGTCCTCATTTATCATTATCGACACCCCTGAATATTACATGGACTGTCTTTTGTAGGATTTTGGAGGATGTCAGTAGCTTTGGGAACGGTTTGCGGTTTGCTGTTCTTGCAGGGTTGCGATGTCGCTTCGTGCGGCAACGGGTTTAGTTGTGGCTGTTTCGAGCCAGTCCAATCCGTGCTTTTGGTTGGCGTGCTTGGCTTCGTTGTCTTCGATGAGGTTTACAAAACTTGAGGCGACTTTGTGGTCCTTTCCAGGCCATCGTGTCTTGGGCTTTAGCAAATACTACCTCTCCTCCCTCTCTCTTGTAGCACAGCTTCTCGATGCAAGTCGTGGCATCCCAAGGAGCCGTTCTGCGGGTAAGTTTCGGGAAGAAGAGCCTTTTAACCCTGCAGTATCCAAAACCTGGCCTCAAGACTAGATTATCAATCATCCCACTTGGAGTAGGTCTGCAGGTTGTTATGCGAGTGTCAAATACCTGTCATGCATGACCCTGCTCGTACGTAGAGTGTTATAAGTAAGCGCACTTTAGTTGTATCCAGTTTACACCTTATAACTCCGCGTGAGGGTACTTAAAACCCTATTTACTAAGTCTCCTGATCCTTTACCTAAGCCGCAAATCTCAAACGAGTTCGAACCGCAGGCCGGATGCGACCCTGGTGCGCGAAGCTTCGCCCATCCACTGGCTTGGGGTGCGAGGGGCCTCGTTTCAGGGATGTAGGGCTGTGCATTGAGAGCTCGGGGCTTGGCAACAAAAGGTGCAAGTGATTTACCGGAAATGATCCCATTTCCATTGTAGTGCACCGGGTAATGCTGCCGCAAGAAGCTTGGGCACCAGGGCCGTAGGTTCAGGATTGATGCTTGTAATTTGTGCAGTCTGCGCAGAGCTGCTTGCAGCAGAGCTTCCGTGAGCAAGCTAGGGCCTAAGACAGCAAAGCAGATTCTTATCGTCTTCAATGACGAGCATGTCAGGCCCCGGCAATGATTCCGGCCGATTCCATCTTTACAATCTGACGAATCTGGAACAGACAACGAGCCTGCTCGACCAGCAATATATCACAGGAGACCCGAACGCAACACCATGAAGTCCTACATATCCCGTTTTCTGACTACAAACTCCTAAGCTCCACAGTCCCTAATGATGGAGGCCGTTAGTTAAGCAAAGACGCATAGTAGAACAGCCCTCGAGCTGTTGCAGGCAACCGTCGCCCTTGCGACCTTGCACGTCGAGCTGCGCTGCGCACTTCTGCTGCCATCCCATTAGTTGCTCAATAAACGTTCATTGTTCCGATAGTTGAGTAGTGTTCGCAAAGCTAAGCTTCGTATGTGTGTGTGTGTGTGTATAACATGTGTAATTATGTATGTATATATATATATATACACACACACATAGTCTCAGTATCTCTATAAATACACATACGCATAACCTGTACGTCCACATGCACATCTAATATACATCTACAGATACATCCACATATGCATGTGCGTATGCATATGCATATGCATTCACATATGCGCATACATATGCACATACATACACTTAGTTACAGATACACCTACATGTGCATATGCATGTGCACATGCACATACATATGCGTATACACACGCATATATATATATATATATATAGATATACATATATATATATATGTACATTCATACATTCATACATTCATACATTCATACATTCATACATACATACATACATGCATACATACATACATACATACATACATACATACATACATAAATACACATAACTTCGGGGAGCAGCCGAAACGGGAGAAGAGTTTGCTGCGGGTTCAGGGCTTCGGGGCGAAGGCAAAGGAGCTCTTGCCAGCCAGGCCTTTCTTCGGGGGTTCGGGTCTTATAAGGGTTCAGCACCCTAAACCCTAAACCCTGGCAGGGTTCAGCAAAACATGTTTGTAAGTTAGAAGGGCTCAGGGTTTAGGGAGTTCCGGGCGAGAGAAGCCTGCTGCAAAAGGAAGTTTATGGTTGATGCAAGCAGTCAGCAGGCAATCCGAGCGAGAGCGACGCCGGGGTTTATGATTTAGGGTAAATGTCTTTTTAGGGGGTTTTGGTGGGTTTAGGGCATTTAGGTGCTTTCGGGGCTTTAAGGATTTTGGGGTTTAGGGTAATTACGGCGTTTAGGGGTCTTAGGGCGTTTTAGGGGCTTAAGGGTGAAAATAAACAGGCACCGTTGCCCCCATCCGGTATGTTCCACAACCTGAACCTGTAGACCCAAACCCTACAACATAGTAGAATTGAGATCTCGACAATTGCAGGGTACACACCCCGCCGAAAACATTAGGTCACTAGGTTTGGAGAACCACTTGAAGTTCTTGCGGCTGAGAGTGGGCATTACTCTCCACAAGGCTTTCAAATAAAGGATCAGACCTCGCAGGCTTTGTAGCATCTCCGGTTCAGTGGAATCCGCGTGTTTTGCATTCACGGAGCCCTGTCTAGTGGATTTGGTTGTTGAGATTAAGGGCAGGTTTCGTAGTCATAGCACAAGCAAGGAGCTTTTGTGGTTTAAACAGTTTGGTTTCGCTTGTCCCTCCGGCCATCTGCTTGAAAATCTAGGACTTGCTACTGGCAGCTGGCAAGCTATGGTGCCAGCTGAATTGGATCAGCCATCGTCAAGCCTTTCCTGCCTCGTGCGGCTATGAAAGTCGAAACCCTCAATCCTCAATCCTACCCCGAATGCCAGCCTCAAACCCTAAGCCAGTGAGCGAGGCAGAACGGAAAAAGTGTTACGCGAAGAGCCCTAACCGGCCACACCGATTATCATCCTTGGAAAGCCACGGTTTTGCCGTCGTACTGCCCATCAAGAACGGCCTCAACAACTCAGCAACTGAATAGGTAACGCGCGCTGGGCCGCGCTTATGGCCGGACGTGCTTTAATTAGCCATTTGGGTTTGTATGATCCTCCCTGCACTGCTGTCTGCGGCACACATGCGCTTCAGCCGTGTGAGAAACGGGGTTGTGCCATACCTTAAACGGTAACCAACTGGGCTAGGATGTTCAGCCCCTAAGCCCCCAGACAACGTCCTCATCCGAGCGAGTCGGAATAATCAGCAACCGTATCCTCTCAGAGTCCCTAATATTTTCCAGTGCGAATATATATATATATATATATATATATTTATACTCCGTAAACCATGTTTCGATTGTCGAGGCAACTAGCTTACCCGAATTTGTTGATCGCGATGCCTTTTCCTGCAGCACTCGAGTTACCGAAGATGTGATCGCCAGCTATTTAAACGAAATGTCAGTGCTTGCTGCTTTCGAGACGAGTACCGAGATCTTTGATCAGTAGGGCTTTGATAGCATCTCAAACCTCGGGCTTTAACCCTGGGGGCCTGAAACCTTATGTAAGACAAGTTAAGACAACCTTCGCCACAAACGATAAGTTAAGACAGGCGTTGACAGAACAAGTCAGGTGAGGACACAGCTTGTGCAAAAGACGCCAGACCAAGACAAAAGCACCATAATAATAGACTTTTAATAATTCTGCGAATAGACATTCGGTCATCTTTCAGCGAGATTTTGCAAGAATTGTTATGCAACAATACGCTTTGAACAAATAGCTTTTTCATCTGGGAAACATTGTAGAGTTCTCAAACGGTTTTCAATTGCGAACTGTAGCCGATGTACACATCATGCCGTCTAAGATTCTAGAAGACATAACAAGATTTCTCGGGCACGATTCGCAATTTTTAATTTGCAAATAAGGTGCAGTGCGATACAATTGCCAGATACAATAAGACCAAAAAAACTTTTGCCGAGCCCAGATGGACAAACATGTGCATTGCTCTTGACTTTTAGCCTGTAGCCCTGAGGTTTAAACAAATGTGTGTTAAGGGCACCTTAGATGTTTTGCATTTGCCTGTTTAGATTATGGGGGTCGCCAGGCGGGGCTGAGGCCGGTCAAGTTTGGGATTGGGGCTCGGCCGATTGGGGTTGTCGACCAAGAGACCGAAGCCGCCGGCGAGCAATAGGATAACGATTACCCAAGACATGTTTACTTGTTTCATTAAGGAGAATGGAAGCACCTTAACTTGAAGACAATGAGAAACATAATCTGACCCAGGAGTAGAGGCACAGAGGGACAAATTAAGACAAAATAGCACAAATCATGACAAAAAATGCAATGAAATGAGACTCAGCACGATTTGTTGATTTGGAGCTGAAAGTGCCGAGGTGTAAAGACCAGAGTTTTCAAAGCGGTGCAGAACATGAACGATTTGAAAATGTTTCGATATATAATAGCCGCAACATTGGATTGAATCAGTCAAGTTGTTCCATGGCGGCCCAACATAGCACCTGCAAAGGTCAGCGTTCTGCTCCTACCTTCCGACGGCTTGTCCAAGCTTCCTCACAAATACAATGTTAAAGGGGCTAATATAAGCGCCTCAATCTTTACCTGTATCATTTTGGGGGTTCCTTATTATATCTTTACTATAAAGGACCCCCAAACCAAAACCCTGTTCTAGTTATTAAGGCCCCTATATTAGGCGTAAAACATCGTAGCCGTAAAACGCTTCCAGAATCTCTCGAAGTTCTCAACTTATACGCGTTACATCCTCTGCACACAACAGGTCTGAAGGCTTTTGCGAAACGCAACAAGTGCAAGGTACTCAGATTAGTGGCAAGATCTCAGCCTTAATGATTCATTTATTATTTGTCTGTCTGTATGTATGTATGTATGTATGTATGTTCAGCGTCTGCAAACATATTGATATTAATCGTATACCAACATTAACCATAGAGACTGTGAGACCAAAACATACACACGATGCCCCAAACAGACAAGCCCAGGCGAAGCAGGATTTCGCCCGTGTGGATGCGGTGCTCTTCGTTTGGCGCTCACTCGGCGACCAGTAGCCTCTCAAAAAGACCCGTCAAGAAAGCAGGAGAAAATGCCTTGCCTTTTGGCGGGAAGCTTCGGGGCAAAGGGTGGACGGCTTGGGATTTTGTGCGCAAGACAGGTTCAGGGTTGGGGTGACGAGGGTGGTGGGTGTTACAGTTTCGCTTTTAATCTGATTATTTTTTTGGTTTGGGGGCTTCGGGGTGTTTCAGGCTTGCCAAGTAGAGCTTGTAGGGTCTGGGCACGTTTAACAAGTATGCGGATGGCGCGGCCTTCCAAAACACTCGGAAGCTGGAGCAGCGGCTGTACAGTTGACGGGCTGCGGCTGTTTGACCTAAATGAGACCATGGTCGAAGTGCGAGTTTTGGACCCAAGTATCTTAACCAGGCTTGGTCTTCGCATTAAACTCGAATAGCACACCTGGCCCACGGATCTAAAAACCCCAAGCCCTAACCCGAAAACCTGCCCCAAGTCCAGGCGGAGCTTCATCCCTAACGCAGGTCCCTCGCCACGGGCATGCCGAGCGGAAAGCAATGGCTGCGGCCTTGGATCTGCTACAGCCCCGACCCAAACTTCAAGACTAACATTTGGGTTGTTCAATCTAAACCCTTAATGTATATAGTATAAGGGTCTGCATGCTAAGTACTATAGAGTGTCCCACAATAATTGGTCACACTATGTTGCACTGCTGTATACCGCCTTGCCTCAGCTGGATTGTCGAGAGGGCAATCCGAAGCTTCAAGTCAAAGAGCCCTTACTGAGACTTTTAAAGCAGCGTACAAGAGTTCCAATAAACAGGTATAATTTTTCTGGGGGCCTAAACTCAACACTTGCATGAACGCACTTATGACGCCATTCCTGCAAACCCCAAAATTAGTGCTGCTTTCGCCGGGTGTCGCGAGACCAAGTTTTCAACCTGCACATGGCCTTAAACCCTATTTAAAGCCCTAAACTTCGGCTCTAATCCCTCAGCCGTCAAAAGCCCTAAACCCTTGGATTCACCCTAAACCATGTTGGTTTGATTTCTTGGCACTCAGAAATCGTAAGGTCGCATTTCTCCGAAACGCCCTTCGGGAGCAAGGCTCCAATGCAGCCGGTGTCTCAAAGGGGCCTGAGAAGAATAGGGACCAAGGAAAGAATATCTAATGTCTGTATCTACATAAAAAGCATAAACACAAATGTATAAGTATTGGGAAGAACCCTACTTATAGCAAGGGTCGCTGTAGTGAGTCCCCATTGCCCTGCAGCTCTCGAATGGTATAAGGTGCTTCTCAGAAGCTCCAATTCCACCCAAGTTGGGTCGCGAAAATGTTTTCAAAGTTGAGAAGTACCCTAGACTCTAAACCTCTAAACCCAAAACCCTATAAACCTGAAACCCGTGCACCCTAAACTCTACACCCTAAGACCTCAACTCTAAATCTAACCAGGGCCTTCTGAGCCGGGTTTGAGGCTTCCACTTTCTTGGCTTCGCAGGGTGCAGTTGTTGCCGGCTTCGAATCAGCAAAACCGCGGGTTCTCGGATCCTATCGGGCTTGGTTTAGTCAGGGACGCCCGTCAGCCTCGACCTGTCTCAACCCTAAAACGGATTAATGGATTTGACGCGATGCAAGCTTCAGGACAAGACTGCAGGCCTCGATCTTTTCGAGCCCAACTTGTCGCAAAGACCGTGAAAGACTGCTACATCAACGTTTCAGTAGAAGAATAGGAGAACAACGTTGTCAAAGATTGCAAACCACGCCTCAAATCCGAAGCCTGACGCCCTCAACCCTGAATCTCTAAATCCCCCGGAAGGCCTGAAACCCGAAGTCAGGAACTTCGAAGCCCTCAAGGCAAAGCCTAAGCAATACCTCCAGAAGCATCTAAAAGCATACAAGAATCAACTATGCGGGGTCAACTCACATGCGGGGTTGCAAGCATTTCTTTATGTTAGAAATCCCACGATGCAGTGTTCCATATCAGAGTACCCTACTTTCTGGAGGCTGCCGTTTTGCCATGACGGCTTCGGGTGTTGGGCGGATTATAAGGCTTCCTATCCGACCAACAGACGGCCCTGTACAAAACCTAAAGAGCCCAGGACGCCGCGGCCACAAGCAGCCTCCAGGACAGAGCCGAGAGAGGGCGGGTTTGACAATTTCGGGGTGACGAGGACGAGCCACTGCTCCTGTCGTTAAGCCACCCAAGGTTTAACAGATCTGATGAGCAAATGCTCACTGATGTGTATGCCGTTTGCCGACAGGAACGTGTGTCTCAGCGCGTGATGTGCGAGAACCCCGCCACCAGGTACATGTCAGGGAAATGCGCACACCCCCCACCCCGCAGCTGCCAAACCCTTCTGTTCGTTTGTTCTGCGCCGCCGGGAAATGTATAAATCAGGGGGGCCATCAGTTTTCGGCTTGACCTTGGTGCTCTCATGCTGTGGTTCTTGGGGACCCATCGTTCATGATAACTAGCAACAGCAAGTAGCTATGTGAGAAAACAAGTTGTGCTAAGCCTTGAACCCAGTCCAGTTGCATCAAGAACCAACAACACCAGTCCTTTAACTGTAAACCCCCGCAGCCCTAAACCTTAAGCCCCCCTGAGAAACCTCGTGCGGCTCTGCCCGAGTTGCGACAGCGTAAGCCCTATGGACCCTTAGCCAATCTGCCTTAAGACACCAGAAGCCTCAGAAAGTCGCGGCTTCGCAGAGGAAGCCACGGGTTGGGTGCGGCTCTATGTCCCCTTCACAGAACCGGGAAGGGGATCTTTGGGTTGTGGGATTTGGGATTCGGGGGCGTGGGGTTTACGGTTCACGGTGGAGGTTTGTAAAGGGTGCGCGGGCTCAAAGCTCGGAGTTTCGAGTTCAGGGGTCTGTGGAGTAGCGCCCTTTCACCTTTTTAAGTGTTGCTTTAGGGTCCCCAATAGTATTAGTACCCTTTTGCCCGTTCTGATCTGTTTTGGGGTCTTCTGTGGGCCGTTTGTTTTTTTTTTTTTTTTTT